CTGCCTGGAGTGAGCGGCTCAGAGGGTGAAGGGGAAATGACCTGCCAGGACCCAGAGTGGATTTGGGGGCACAACCTCCTGGTCAGAGAGATCTGGGGGGCGAAATTTCCTGTGAATCCTCTTGGGAACTGGGGACAGTGTGGCACTGGGGGYACTGGGGACAGTGGGGACCCACTGCCCCCTTGTCTGGAGTCTCCCAGGGCAGGGTGGAAGCGCTGGATTTGCTTTTCCTGACGTGCCTGAACTGGGCTGGGAAGAGCCTCGGCGGGGGGAGAAACCGCAAAAAAAAATTTAAAAAAAAAAGCAAATAACTGAGAGGTGTCGAGCGTCTCTCCGAGGAGCCGCAGGCGGCCAGCCTGGGCAAGAACAGCTCCCAGGTGGGTTCTGGCATTTCCAAAAATCATTCCGAGCTGACCTCGGCAGGAGGGTCCTGTTTTCTCAGCGAGAAGAGCCGGCACGACCCGTGAGCTGCTCAGGATAGGGCAGGGTCCGGCCACAGGATATGGGGACGGCGACAACGCATGAAAATCGCCCGCAGCCTCTGGCCGGTGGCGCAGGGAACGGCCCCGGGCCGTTGTTTCCACCTCGATGGCTATCGAGCGGGGAGAGCTCTACCTTTCCGGCCATTAACACAAACAGCTGGATATCCTGATAGGGATTGCCGGCTGAGCCGAAAAACCTGAGCCTGGAAAAGAGATTCCGCAGCCGAGGATCGGTCAGGAATGGGGACGGGGCGGCTGCTGCACGTCCAGCCCCCGGGGGAGGTCTGGGAATGGGATGGATCCTGTTGTATGGGATGCTGGAGATGCGTTAATTAGGCTCATGAATAAATTAATGGTAATGGCTCCTGTGGACAGCCAGGCCACTGCTTGGTGGGATCCTGAGAGGCTGGAAATGTTGATGTCTTGAGATATTTTGGGATGCGTGCGGGGGAAGGAAGGGTGCCCGGGGGAAAGGTGCTGTTAGGAAAAGGTGGAGGAACAAGGCAGAATGCCTTGAATATTGGAAACCGAAATTCAAAGACTTTTTAAAGGACAAAAAGACTTTTAAAGGAAAACATAAAACGACAGCAGGAGGATGGAAGGAATGGCTTCCCTAAACCAACCCCAAATCCAGCACTACAATCGTGGTTTGGGGAGATTTCCCAGATTTCTGGGCTTGCTGGCTGGGTGATTCAGGCACAAACACGGCCCTTCCCTGAATGTGGAGCATCCATGGAGCGGCCAGGAAGAAGCCAGCAGTTCCCAGGTGGGTCAGCCTTGAATATTGGGGAACTGATATTTGAAAAGACCTATTTAAACGAATATTTATAACACCCATAAAATGACAACAGGGAGGATGGAAGGAACGGCTGCCCTAAACCAACCACAGTCATGGTTTGGGGAGATTTCCCAGCTTTTTGGCCTTCCTGGCAGGGTGATCCAGGCASAAACAYGGCCCTTCCCTGAWTRTGGAGCATCCATGGGRCAGCCAGGAAGAAGCCAGCAGTTCCMAGGWGGGTCAGCACAGCCAGAGATGTGATTCCMATTCCCATTCCCACCCTGRTGTGGGTGCCCAGGGCCAGGATTGACCCCAGAGCTGCTCACAGAGCGATGGAGCTGCCCCAGTCTCACCTCGGAACTTCTTGGGGGGGTTGTCCAGGTCTCCGGCCGCCGGCTCCACCACGCAGCGATCATCCACCAGCCTGAGGGAACAGAAAGTGGGATCGGGGTCAGGAACAGCRGGGTGGCTGTGCCATGSAGCTGTGCCAYCATCTCCTGGCCCAGGAYATGTGGATTTTGTGGACAAATCCACAACCGGACTCCTGTTTCCCACCCATAAATATTTTGCAGGAGCCAAACACGCTGCCCCTCGTTCCCATTGCTTCCCTGTGCATTTCCCATCCTGGTCCCTCGGGCATTGAAGAACCATGGGATGGTTTGTGGTGGTCACTCTGGGTGCTCTGCTCAGTGACCAGTGCCAGGGCTCTCCTGGAGGGGACCCTGCCCTGCCCAGCTCCCAGCTGAGCCCRATTCCCCTTGGCACACTTGTTACTGCACCCTTAACCCAGCAAAAACGGGATGAGCTCAGCTCCCATTCCCTGATTCTCTGGCTGGGAACTCTTCCCAGTGGGACTCGGAGGATGGAGGCGGCAGGGCCCCCCAAACCCCATCATTAATTATTATCTGATCAGAGCTGCAGGCTGTGCCCATCAGATCAAAGCTCTGCATCTCCTCCCTGCCCTCCTCTGTTTTCCCAGCGTTGAGCAAAACCCCACAGGCCTGGCCTGGGGTGCTGGGGGCTGATTTTGGGGACAGATAGGACTGTAGAGTAACCAAAAACAGTAAAGCAGAACCCGGCAGGGGGATCTGCCCAAAGGACAGAGGGGTGAACATCTCCCGAGGGGCACCCGGAGCTCCCTGTGAGGCTCCCGAGGGAACTGGGTGCTCCAGCAAGACAGGCTGTACCCGCTCGCCCGCTTTCCCCAGCCCMGGGAAGCCGGAGCAGCAGGAGAAACTCTCTGCTCCTGCCCGGGACAGGGAGAGGGAAGCGTGTCCCCACCTGCGGAGCGAACCCGGGCAGCGGCGGAGCGGGCGAGAGGATGCAGGAATGTGGGGAATCCATTGTGGGACTGCTCCGTCCCTGGAGCAGCCCGGAGGAGCGAGGTGCAGCAAAGGTGGAGTCTGCGCTGTCCCCTCCACCCCCTGAGGGACTCTGAGTGTCCCCAGCCATGGCTGGAGATGGACATGGCATTCTGGAAAGGGCTAAACCTCGATAGATCCATCCCACTCGCAGGTGCGACCTCCTTTCCTCAGCCCAGCCGCTCGCTAGGGGAGGGGAGAATTCTTTTCGCTCGGCAGAGAGGAATTTGGCCTCGGTGCTGATGGATGGGGACCCCGGGGACCCCGGAATTTGTTCTCATTGTCCTCATTTGTCCTCGGTGTGGAGGCGTGGGCTGGCACCGGGCCGTGCCACCCCTCTGCTCCTCACAACCCCCCGGGGCCGGGGAACAACCTCAGATTTCAAATAAAGAGAGAAAAGCAATTTGCCCGGTGGCAGCAGAAGCTTCAGAACAATTAGGAAAGACCTGGAAGGTTGGAAAAAAAACCAAATCCGTGAGCTGTGGCCGGGCAGAGCTGTCCTGGCTTTGCAGAGCCCCGTGGGCAGCAGCACAGGATGTTTTGGGCTGTCCATGGATGGKGAGAGCAGGGAAGCAGCCGGGAACATTCCAGATCCCTGTGGGGCTGGGGGARAGGGAAAAGGGGAAAACCAGGGCGGCTGCACCCCCATAGGGAACATGCAAAGCCCCAGCCCAGCCCTGGATCACTCAGGGAGAGTTTTGGTTTCTGTTCTGTGATTTTTAACGGCGGACAGGGCCAAACAAACCCTTTGGATGTGCCTGAGGGCAAAACCCACCGAGGGCAGAGGATCCCAATCCATGGGCTGAGCTCKGGCAGTGAAACCCCGACCCTCAGCACATCCCCAGAACGCGTGGAGGCAGAAGGACTCGATCCATCTGCGCACTTTAAACCCCGAAAATCCTCCTCTCTCACGCCTGGAGGTCTCTGAGGAAGTGCCTGACCTGCCTGGTTTCTTTTCAGCGCTGAAGAAAACAGCACGGGAGCCTCCCACCCACCGGCCCTGCGGCAGCGCTGCCCCGTGCCCCTGCCCCAGCGGGCAGGATTAGAGACAGCGACCTGCCAGCCTGCGAGTCTTRATTAGTTAACGATCTCAAGGCAGTTTCAGCATCTTTAATCCCGGGATTACGCGCTCGGCAGGAATGCAAAGTGCTCGTTTTGTTAAACTGATACTCTGGGCGAACATTCCTCAGTTTAAAAAATTGCTGAAAATAATAAAAAAAAATAAATTAAAAAGGGTTCTGACAGGGTGGACATGAGTCACCTGGGAGGCTGCTGGGGCCGGGACACGCTCCCGCTAAGAAGCGGCATTCCCGCGGTGGGATGGGCGAGGGAAGCTCCCGGAGAGCAGCGGGATGTGCGGGAGCCACGCCGAGGGCACCTTTTAATGGAAAAATGGGTCTGGCTGTGTCCAAGCACCGGGAGGAGGATCCTGAGCCAGGCAGGAGGCTGAGAATGTCACCCTTTGCCTTTCCAGGGGCGGGACCCTGCGCTGATGAGCCCCTCAAGGCGCGGCCGGAGCATCTGGCMGGCTCTGAACCGCGGATTTCTCGCCGCGCTTCCAGCGGGGCTTCCTGGCTCTTCCAAACCCCGAGCGCAGAGTGATTCCCTGGCCCGGGGCCAGCGCGTTTGGCCCCGTCCGCGGCAGAGCCTTCCCCGAGGTCAGGGCAGAAGGAGCTCGTCCAGCGCTGCGAAATCCGGGACAGCCGGACCCTCCCGACCCTGTCCGGGGACAGCGCCCAGCTGGAACCCGCTGGGATGGGGRAAAACCTCCCCCGGGTGGGGCACGGAGCATGCCAAGGGGAGCTCGGGGTGCATGGGTGCCCGGGAAGGAGAAGGAGAACCCCCCAAAAAACCTCAGGAATCTCTGGAGGTGAGGAAAGGGAGGAGGAGGAGGATGATGGTGACAGCTCACTGTTGGCCATGGGGCCAGGTCAACCCTTCAGCCACCCTCGGGGTGCAGGGTGGGCACTGCCCCAGGGAGAAGAGAGCAAAGTGAGCATTGCAGCCACAAAAATGGAGCTTTTTGGTKCTGTCCCGGTGCCAGGAGGGCTCGGATTCCTCCTCCTCCTCCCCTCGGCAGGGACGGGTTCATCCTGACCCGGCGGAGCCGCAGTTACCCTTTAACCAACTGCATCTCCCCGAGCTGCTCCACCCCGAAATCCACCTGCAGCCACAGGGACAGGTGTTATTTCCCCTSAAACAGCCGCCTGGCACCCAGCTGGGTTTGTCACCGACCCTTCCCCTCTGCAGTGCCAGTCCAGAGCCTCTGGAGGGTCCTGGGAGCACAAAATCTTCCTGGGCAACTTCCAATATTCCCCAAACCGCTTCAGGCCGCTCTGATACACCCATGCCATACCCCCAGCACCCCAAGGGTCACTCTCAGGGCGCTGAGACCGCCCTTAGCCCTGTTCTCCCCTCCCACGGCCCTTTTTGGGCTGACTGGAACATTTCACCAGGTTTGGGGTCCTTGGCTCGGCATTCCCACCTGGCCCAGCCTGAGCTCCACACCCCTCCCGGGATGTTTTTCCTGCTCTTGAGCAAACGCCCACTGCAGAGAGGGGGTGAAAGGGAAGGTTTGTGCCTGAGGGACCCCGACAGTGAGATTTTGGGGGGGCTGGGAGAGAGGAGGCTCAGGTGGGAGCTCCCCCCATCTCCACCCCACACCCTGGAGACCCCCAGGGCTCCTCCAAGAGTGCTGGCACAGAGATGCCGCATCCTTAATGTGACACTGGTGAGCGACAGCCGGGGCCACTCCGTGTCACCCCATAAAAGGGAGGATCCCACTGCAGACCCGCGGCGATCCCACAGCCCAGAGCCGGTCCCGGCACAAGGAAGSATGTCAGGAACGCTTCCGCAGGGCGCCCGCGTGGGCTGGCAGAGCTGTTTGCCTTGCAAATGAGCTAAATAAGGTCCCTGTGGCAGGAGGAGCACTCTCGGTGAGTCACCTGGTCCCTTATCGCAGGAGTGATTTAAGGTGTGGTTGGGTCTCCCAGGTCGCAGGGCACCAGGGAAAACAATTTTAGAGGGGAGGGGAAGAGCCTGCAGGAAGCAGAAGCCTGGGAAAGTGAGGCTGCCCGGCAGAGGATGTGCTGGGGCCGCGGAGGAGAGGTTCCCCGAGCCAGATCTGCCCTTCAGGTGCTTCTAAAGAAGCCGGGAAAAACACCCGGCAAAAAGGGATCAGAGCTGCGAGGAGCCCGCACGTTTCTAACTGAGCCACGGGGACGCGTTCTGGGGCCACCAAGCAGAGCTGGGTCCCCTCCTGCAGACCCCATTTCCACGAGGAGCAGTGCTGAGCATCCCCTGCCTCGGGATGGCACTGGGACAGCTCCSAGGAGACCTCTCCAAAAACCCCCGTGGGGATGGGATGTCCCCCGAGGGATGCAGGAAGGGACGGGCTGCACCTGCAGGACACACGGGGATCCTGAGCACCCCCGCGCCCCATTGCACCCCATTTTCGGGCAGCCGGGTGTGGGGAACCTCGGTGGGCATCAGCCCAGCGGCCGCATGTGCCCGGCGGTGGGCGAGGGAACACGTGTGGGCGCAGGTATGGCATGCGGCTCCGCTCCGGCACAGGCATGTGGGAGCAAGTGCATTCAGCGCAGATTATAGAGCCGGGCAGCTCCTGCCCCGGGAATCCCATCCAAGTCAGCATTCCTGCCTGAGCTCAGCCTCTCCTACCCGCAGCGTGGGGCAGGAGCGCTGGCACGGCCCCACATCCCCCGTGCCCGGGGCTAAGGGCACGATTTGGGTTCCTGAGTCAGGGTGAGGAAAAACCCACCCGGTGCCCCGGGGCGGCCCTGCCAGAGCGCTGCTCATCGCCCATCGTGTCCCGGGGGCAACCATTCCCTGTGAGCCCTCGCCATCGCCCATCGTGCCCCTCAGACCCATGGGGTGAACAGTCCTGGTGAGCCCTCCCTATCGTCCATCGTGCCCCCGTGTCACCGGGCAAACATTCCCGGTGAGCCGTCCCTCTTCATCCTCCTCATTGCCCACCGTGCCCCCCAGAGCCACGGGGCAACCATTCCTGGTGAGCCCTCGCCATCGCCCATCCTGCCCCCCAGATCTATGGGGTGAACATTCCTGGCGAATCCTCGCCATAGCCCATCGTGCCCCCGAACCACGGGGCAAATATTCCTTGTGAACCCTCCYGATCGCCCATCGTGCCCCCCCGAGCCACCGGGCGAACATTCCCGGCGGGAGCAGGCCGGGGGATGGACAGGGGCAGGGCTGGCTTTGCCCAGGGGCTGCTCCAGCAGCACCGTGAGCTCGCACGGACGCAGGAGTGACACGGGACAGATCCCCGAGGTCCCCGCTCCTCGCCCCGGGAGCTGGCACTGCCCTGTCCCCCAGCCCCGGGTGGCACTCGGTAGCCACGGGCAGCCCGGCTCGGTGACCCCGCAGCGGTTCCCACTGACCGCCGGTTGTGTGGGACATGAGAGGGGACAGTGACAGCCACCACTGCCTGTCCGGGGGCCAGCAGCACAGAGTGACCCCGTGCCCAGGAGGGGTCCCCGCTGCCCGCGCTGTCCCCCCCACACATCACCCTCCTCACCCCACTGACCCCTCCCGCTGTTAAACCCATTTAAACCCCCCCCGGCTCCTAAATGGGGGGAAGCAGCTTCTGGCCAGTGAAAGGAGGGCTGAGGGTCCCTCCAGGGCCACATCCTGCCCCTGACAGCCGGGGACGAGCTCGGGGACACCCTGTCGCCCTGCCCAGCGCCTCTCCCCATCCCTGCGCTCGTTTTCCCAAAGCGCTCCGGCTCAGCAGCCCCGTCCCGCCCCGTCCATCCCGGAATCACCGTCCGGGCGGCCCCGAGAGCCCCTCGCTCACCCCAAGGTGCTGATGAAGCCATTGACGGAGCCCTCGGCGTACAGGGAGACGATGTCCCCGATGTGCAGGAAACTCGACATCTCATTCATGGTTACCCTGACCCGGCGCGGCGCCGCTTCCTCCTGCAGTCACCTTCCCGGGCCGAAATCCAGCATGGGCGAGCGGAGCCGGGGGGGTCCCTGCTCCGGGAGGGTCGGAGGGGTCTCTGCTCCTCGGGGGGACGATCCCAGCCCGGCTCCTGCCGCCAGCAGCACCGGCAGCGGGACGGGAGCGGAGCCCCACGCACAACTTTTACATGTGCCGGGCAGGAAGGGAGCCGGGCGGGGAGGGAGGAGGAAGGCGACGAGGAGGAGGAGGAGGAGGAGGAGGAGGGGGCGGGGGATGAAGCTCAGCCGAGGGTCCGCATGGGCTCTGTCCGTGCCCCGTCCCGCACAGCTGCGCTACCTGCGGCCAATGCAGCGGGATCAGGAAGTCCCGCCGGCAGCAGCGTGCGGGGAGGGGACCCGGGGCCGGCGGGACGGGGGGGGCGAGGACAGGCCCCACCCCCGCACCCGCCTCCCGTCGGGGGGGCCGGGGGTGCGGGGTTTGCGCGCCCCGGTGCCCGCAGGGTCCCCCCGGCTGCGCTCCCCGCTCCGCTCCCCTGGTTCCCCTCCCGACCCCCGACCCCCGGCACGAAACCCCCGAGCTCCCCCCGAGACCGCTCAGCCTCTGCTGCCCGGCACGGAGCCCTGCATCCCGGGGGTCTTGCCCTTCTTGGAGCGGCGCCGGGGTCTCGGGGGTCTTGGGGAGCCCCCCACCCTCCGCAGCCATCGGTAAAGGCGAGCGGTCACCGCCGCGCCCCCTCCCCGTCCCGCTCGGCCCCTCGGCTCCAGCCCCCTCCTCACATCGCAGCAGTGCCGGGAGCCGCTCCCTGTCCCTGTCCCCGTCCCTGTCCTGTCCCTGTCCCCATCCCTGTCCCTGTCCCCATCCCTGTCCCTGTCCCTTCGGCCGGCGCACTGCCAGCATCCCGCACCGCCCGGAGCCGGGGGAGCCCCGGGTGAGGACGAGGCGGTTCCCGGCGGATTTTTCTGCCCCAGGCGAGCGCTTGCGGCTTCCCGAAGCCCAGGTGGCTCCTGCCAGCTCGCCGCTCCCAGCAGGGCCAGCTCGCACCTGCTTCGCCTCTCACCTCCCCCGTCCCCTCCTGTCCCCACAAACCCTCCCCGTCCCCCCACGCCGCGGTGACACCGCAGCCCTGAGAGTGTCACAGGGCTCGCCCACCATCCCAAAATGCCAATCCAACACCTCCATCGCCCCCAGGAGCTGCGGGGAGGAAGAAGAGACCCTCACACCCTCCTCCAGTGCCCTGAACTCTGTAAGGAGCCTTCCCACTGTGAGCTCAACACCTCCAGGCTGGGCCAGCAGCTCTGGGCTCCCACTGTCACACTGGTGGGAAGGAGCACGTCCTCAGAGCATCTTCTGGACAGCACAAGCGACCCAGTTCCTCACTTTAATTAAAACTTGCCTGCTGTAAAAACAATATCGGAAGGGGAGGGAAAGAAAAAAAAAAAGAAGCAGCATGATGCTTTTCTCATTTATTTCCCTCCTGTCCTCTTTTCTCGCAAACAAACACAGGTTTCGGGAATATAAACCTTGCCCTAAATAGTGAATTTTTATTTTTTTTTCTTTCCACTAGGAAACGGACAGGTCCCCTGGCAGAACAAAGGGAAAAAAAAATTAGTGCAATTCCTCTGGGGGGGAGATGCGAATTCAGGTCCATCAGGATTAGCTGCGTTTTCAGCACAGGACAAATTTAGAAGCCTTTATCTCAGGGCAACAGAGGGGGAAAAGAGAAGATCATGAGAAAAAGAAAAAAAGAAAAAAAAAAAAAAAAAGTCTTGCTGGTTTTAGAAGCAAATGAAGGTTTCACAACAGGAGCTCAAGGAAAGCCCCAAGGAACCGAGAACCAAAATTCTGTGCCCGGATCAGCCTCTTTGATGGCAGACACGAGCGGTGCCTCAGCTGAGGGGCACTGTGGCTGTGCCACGGCAGTGCCACTGGCCTTACCGGGCATGGCTGGGCAAGAAAAACCCTCAGGGAGGGCAAAAAACCCCACAGAACTCAACAAACAGGCATCTGGCCTTGCTCCTGCTGCTCAGGAGGATTGGGAAAAGCAGGTTGGGACCTCTGGAAGTCTCCATCCCACCCAGGGCAGAGGCACCCCTGTCCCCATGCCAGGGGGGTGACAATGCCCATCCTGTGCTCAGGGCTGGATGTCCCTAGCTCAACTGAAGGTGAAGAACCCAAAATCTTCCAGGGGTGCTCCTGTACCCACTCTGCATCCTGGGAATGGTGACACAACATCTCCATATCCTACCTGGATGGAGCTGGGATGGACAAAACCTTCCCCATCCTCCAGGCCTGGGAGTGGTGACAGCTCTGTCCCCGTGGTGGGCACAAATAGGGACCCCCCAGCACCCCAAAAATGGTGACAGGCCTGTCCCCATAGTGGGCATAAACAGGGGCCCCAGGCACTCTGGGAATGGTGACAGCACTGTCCCCATGGTGGACACAGATAGGGACCCTGGGCACCCTGGGGTTGGTGACAGGCCTGTCCCCATGGTGGGCACAAACAGGGACCCCCAGCACCCCAGAAATGATGACACAACATCTCCAAATCCTCCCTGGATGGAGCTGGGATGGACAAAACCCTCCCCATCCTCCAGGCTTGGGAATGGTGACAATCCTGTCCCCATGATGGGCACAAATAAGGATCTTGGACACCCCAAGAGTGGTGACAGCTCTGTCCCCATGGTGGCACAAACAGGAACCCCCGGCAGCCCACCAAGATTTGTCCCCACCCAACCAGCAGCACGGGCAGGTGGCTTTGAGGAGAGAAAAAAGAGAAAATGTATTTTTTGTGGGGTTCAGTGATTGTCAGCTGCTCTCAGCGTGGCTGTGCCCACACCGAGCCACCGCTTTGCCCACCTTGTGTGTCCCCTCCCTGCTCAGGGTCCCTCGGATGCTCCCAACCTGCAGGGACACACCCCAAGCGTGGGCTCAGAGCGCTGCAGTGCTCAGGTGAGGGTGAGCCCTGGCCACAGGGATGCTCCTGGTGGCCACCTCACCGTGCCAGCACTGGCCCAGGCCCCGGGGAAGACAGAGCAGTTAWAAATAAGAACATTTCCTTCCTCACCCCCTACTTTAAGCCGTGTGATAAATAAAACCTGGGAGTTTCAGCCTCCCGGAGAGGAAGCGGCTGMGCGGAGGCCGCCCGTGAGTCAGGCCAGCCGAAATCATCCCCGTGGCTGAGGCACCGTCCCATCCCTGGCAGGGCCGGCAGCCACATTCCTTTCTGATGCTGAAATTGCTCCTTTGAAGGCAGCAGCCCGAGCTGCAGGGTCCCCTCCCTGCCCCAGGCCCCCGCCCTGCCCGCGGGATGCTCCCCTGGCACCGCTCCCCTCACCTGCCCGCCCTCCCTGCCAGGAGCGTTCCTTGCGCTGGATGGGGCTGGATTTCCCAAAATGGATCTCCTGGGGTTGATTCCCCACCTCCAGGGCTCAACAGGAGCCCGCTTGGAGCTGAAGTTTGTCCAGATGCCTCGGGAGCAAACCCGTGGAGATGGAGGGGATGGAGCAGGGGTGGTGGCTGGGTGGGACAGGGGGGTTGAGGTGCCCAAACACCGTCCCAGTGCCCTGCCAGGGCCCCCTCTGCCTTCTGGTCTCCTCGGGAATCCCAAATCAAGGCCGGGAACTCAAGGGTGGGTCCACTTGGAAGAAGWAAAAGGAGAAAAAGAACTGTGGCTGCCTTTGTTGGAGGAGGAGGGAGGGAGACACTCGGTGCCTTTGTGCCGAGCAGAGCAGGAGGGCTCTGCTGAGGGTCAGGGGAGTTCTTGGGCCAGCTTGGGGTTTGTCCCTTCACTCTGCAGGCTCTGGGTGTTCTCTGACCCCACTGCTGTCCCCACACACAGCTCAAAGCCTGCCTGGGCTCTGAGTGGAGCCATTCACGCTGCTGCCCCTTCCTCCCACCCCAGAGAGCAGCAGCGCCAGGGCAGGACAGACCCCAGGCTCCATCTGCCAAGAAAAGGGTTATTTCAATCCCATTCCTCCTTCTGAGCGCGGATTTCACAGCCCCGAGCAGCAACCGCGGAGCGAAACCGCTCCTTCGGCGCAGAAAATCCGCGGCGAYGAGGGTGGGACCCCAAACCCACAAACCCAAACCTCCCCCCGCTGGCAGCAGCGGCTTGAAAGGCGCCCCAAGGTCTGTGGGGGAAGGGCTGAGCCCCCTCGGGTGATTTAATCAGCGGTGGAGACGGGAGCAGCTCCCTCCGCCCGTCCCGTGTGYGCCCCGGCCGGCTCCGGCGGCGGCTGTGCCGCGGCTCCCGGGGGAGAAGCAGCGGTGCCCCGAAATAGCTCTCAGACTGGATGACTTTGGCCCACATCCTCAAAGGTATTGAGGCTCGGGGTTACCTCGGAGCACCTGAGCCCTCCCCAAAAATCCATCTAAGGAGGAGGGGACACCCGGCACCATACCCCGGTGGGTCTGGGAGAGGGGGAAATWAAGRAATTTCCAGGGGAAAATGGGGCAAATCCCTCAAATCCCGCTCTTGCTCCTGGGCCAGCTTGAATGCCAACCCATCCTGCTCCAACCAGGAGCTGAGAAAAAGGAAAAGGAAAAAAGGAAGGATCCCCCCTGCCCTGCTCTTTTCCTCCCACTCTCCCTCCCGGGAAGGGTTAAACGGCGCTGGCATGGAAGACACTTTGTACTTGGRTTTAAAAATACAGCCAAAGCCCCGGTGGCCCAGCGCCATGCGAGGCACAGGTATATTTCCACGCTCGAGCCAATAACCTTCCCCGAGGGAAATTTAGGCTTTTTATGATTAAAAGGGGAAAAAATAATAGTGGGGAATTAAATATAGTACAGAGAGCGAGAGAACAATTAGCAGTTGCCGTTAGCGACACCGGGCTGATCTCGGGACGAGAGAGAGCAGCGGGGTTGGGGACAGCCAGCGGGGTGACAGCGGGGCAGGGGACCGRGCAGGTGGCCCTGGGGACAGCCCCGCACGCCCCAGACCCCTGGGAGGAGCCTGCGGGGTCCGGCCGCGCCTCACGGGCACGGGTTCTGTCTCCCTTAGCTTTATCAAAAGCAAATGGWAGTGTTTGCTCAGGCTTGTAACTTCCCTAATAAGCAAACACGGGTTAATTGGGGGGGTGGAGCAGGGGCTGGGGCTGCCAGCTGTACCCTCAGCCCCTGCTGGGGTGGCACAGAGGGTGAGGGAAGAGCTCCAGTCCTCATTTCTCATCCCTCCYGTGCTCTGCCCAAGAGGTTTCGAGTGTCCAGCCCTCCCGGCTGGCCGGCCATGCCCTGCCCTGCAGCTCTGGTGTCATCTGTGTGCAGAATCCTGCAGAATCCTGTGCAGTTTTGCCCCAAATGGGCTGCTTTTTGCCCGTTACCTTTGTGCCCATCTGGCTCATCCCCAAGGGC